ATGTATGGGGAGGCGACAATGTATTCTTAAGCCGTCGCCCCACGGCAAAAATTTCGCAATAAGCCGACAATAAACAGATACTCATTCTAGTGAGTGAAGACTGTTTCACGCATACACACTAGAACTTCGTCACTATACCTGACACGTTACAGTTATAACTCGCTAATAAGTACCCGGCTTTTCATGTACGAAGGTAATTTTACTAGCTTTGGATTAATAAAAGATCTATTCTTGCTTGCAACGCGATGTTTGCGAGCGTTTGAATCGATACACTACAGCGCGCCTGCTGCGCGTATAATATACGCCGTGTGCATAGGCTCTTAATTTCCCAATTTACTACAAACTTCATCATCTCGTATTAGTGTCATCATCTTGATTCTTAGTCAGTATAATTTCAGGTCAGTTTCAGAATAATAATAGAGGCAAAAGTATCGCGATATTATCTATATCAAAACCGTCATGCCTTTATCTCTCGGGATAGACTATTGTCTATCGGATATATAGGAACATAGTGTGTCCTTAGTTATTACTAAGGACACACTACGCTCCTGACATAGCCATTTCGTTTTATCATTTATATTGTCGGCTAAAATCAATTTATAACCATAGCAAAAATGAGCAGCAATGCAAATTTTGTATAGCAAAATTGAACAGAACACAAAAAGAAAAAAAAAGAAAAAAGCTCTGTATAATTTTTCTACTCAGCCTCCAGCAACTAACGACAAAGTAGAGCCCCCAAACCAGAACCAAAAGCACTCTATAATTTTCTACAAAAAATAATTCAAATTTTATACAATCACTATCGACTATCAACACCATAAATTCATGGTTGAGGCACAAACCAGGTTTCGTAATCTAAATTGCAAAGAATGTAGTCGCAATACACATACTAACTTATAAACAAAATGTATAATTAACAATGCAATAAGAAATTATTCAAAACAAACTAATAAACTCATTATAATTCCCAAAGCAAAGGTACATAATTTAAATTGAATATTAACTACAGAATTTAGCCAAGTCCAATCGTTAACTTTTAATAATAGCGTAGATGACTGTTTCATAATTATGATAAATTATTCATAAATCAAAATACATATGTCACATACAGGCACAAACAATATAGGTTTAAGGCCATCATACACGGTATATTTTTAGTATCGACGGTTGGCGATTATGTGGCTGCAACAATGCTGCAACTCATTTTCACGTCTGTGAATATTAGGTCTAGACGTAGATATAGTCCCCTTTTGCAACGATATCTTGATTCACGCGTGTTAAGATTAAATTTGTGCCCTCGGCTTACGCAACAGTATGCAGCGCGACAAATCATTGTCCTTTCTTAATCCGTTCATAAACAGTAACCGCGTTCACCGTAAAATTAAATATTATAAAATGATAGTACGGTGTATACCTATTTTGTTATATGGGTCTCAAAAAACAAACTACTAGCTTTACTTTGCGATTTCCATGTAGTTGCCGCCTACTGCTTTTCAATAACGAAGTATTAAGAGGGAGCAGAGGAAAAATTCCTAATCTTCGATTTGATTTTAGAGGGGTCCACTTTGAAGTTAATAATAAAATATTATATGAGTAACTACACGATATATTCAAGCATAGACATTAATCAGAAATATAAAACAATAGTTTCCTCGATGGATAAAAATCACGAAATGACCTCCATCTCTATCTATATTTATCCTCGAAATGTTACAGGTTATTAGGACAAAAATTAGACAATCAATTATATTTATGCATGATCGACAACTGTCACTACGGATTTTTTTTTAATCCCTTTAGTTTTAGAGTTATTCCGCTAAAACGAATTTGGTACTTTTAATGCGCAAATTTCAACATCTCCTGTCGCATGTCACGCGAACTTCAGGCATATATTTGTTTCACAAAGTTGGGCGGAGCCAACGTCAAAACTTTTTTGGCATGAGAGCTCTTAACGAGGTACCGACAAGATTCAATTTTTCAAAGCAAGAAAATTACAGACATTTTTGTGTGCGGTACTATTTGAATAGAGTCCGTGAAAAGGTTAATAAATCTCTGAGAATAGTGGTGCCGCGTCGCGTCATGCTACAGTGCCACAGCTGTCTGCCGCTACACGTTTTGCGAGCTTGAGAACATAAAATTAGCCGATGTTATTTCAGAACGATGTCAATGGAGATCTCTACCTCTAGCATAAGAATTAGTGACTACATCATATTGTACGGTATAATAACAGCGAGTTGCATATTTTTTTAAATTTAATATGTCATCTACCACAACATTGACCTTCATATTGTCAAAACAACACTAGAGACAGCATGTTACATAAAATATCATTAAAGTTAATAGACGTTGCGGCAATTGGATGTAAAAGTTTCGTGTGTCCGATGTACCTTTGAATGTTAATGAGCTTGATCCAACGCTGGCCAAGGTTTTTAATATTTTTATAAGTAACTCGAGGTTAAACAAGAAGAGTACTTTAACGACGCATTCAATTTCATTGCAGTTTGTTTTTTTAGCCAAAACAATCGTTTTAATTTCACATTAGTTATAGATCCTCTGAAGAAACATTCGCTAAGAGTCGCTACAGAGTCCAAAGTTCAAGTTGTCTTGCGTCCGATATTGAGTAGTCGTAGTAAAATGAGACTGTCGGTGGCAATTTCAAATAAAGTATTTCATGCAACATTCTTTTTTTTTATTACTCGAGGGAATCTGCTTACAGATACTGTTATGTGGGACTGGGCTGAACCCTGAAGGGGAGGAATTCGACCGCACCAACCCCCCGGGGTGTTCCTCTTGTCCGCTGCAGGTAGAGGCACGGGTACTCTTTCGCTCGTTCACGCCTCCACCAGCGGCTGGCCGCGCCCAGCACAGTCCCTCCCCGAGAGGAGAGACGCAACGGTCCCTCGACTCCAAATGTAAGGCTCGCTGAACACCAGACGAGCCTTCCATCTCGGGTCCCTAAATGCTGGTCAGCGAACTCCCCCGAGTCCGCTACCCAGGGGCCATGGGGCCAGGACAACATCCCCTCAACTGTGAAACGCGCATCCACGTGGACTCTACATAGAGAGTCCTTTGAAGCGCCCACCGCACGGGCCAATCGCCCAAATTCGGCCGCGGAGGACAGGATGAGTGGCAACGACACACCGACACGTCTCTTCCCCCGCAGCCCCACCGCCACTACATCTGCACCCTTACCGGTGAAGCCCCGCCCGAGTCGCGGAGGATAGGACGAGTGGCAACGACACACCGACACGTCTCTTCCCCCGCGACCCGCCTCCCCGCATGCGTCCACGCGGACCCGCTCGGCCTAGATCAAGACGAGCCCGCGCTGTACGCCCTCCTCCTCGGGCCAGCCTAGCTCCACCGGCCGGCCCGTGAGTTCCTCTTAGCTTCACCGTGGGATGAAATCGACCACAACTACTAGAGCCCCACCAGCACGACAAGGTGGGAATCCGTTCGGTGCGGTCATGCAACATTGTAGACTATCCTTGGTTGACCAGTTTTTTCATTACATACGTATTAGAATGCGAAATAGCAGATCGAATGTCACTCCGGCTGATACACCAACTGCGCAAACAGTCGGCAGTTATGACGCAGTCGTTTCATTTTAAATTATTTTCTTTTCCCATCGGATCCCCAATGCACCCCTGCATCAAGAATAAATATGAATACTTATGGAGTTCTTAGGTGTTCGTTGAAAAAACAAATGTACGCGATTTAAATCCGGAAAAATAGTTTTATTTCCTATAATATTAATACTTTATTCCCACCTGACACGCTGGTACTTACAAGTTTCTTTTTGGTAGGTAATGTGGTATAGTCAACAAGAAAATGTGTTTGTGGGTTGTACTGCATTTTATTCAATTTATTAGAAATGAACAACACTAACCGTACTATCTTATATCACTGTATTAACTGATTTCACAACTTTTTATCTCTTAACTGCACTTATCTTACAAACATAATGAGGGAATCCGTTGAGAGTGTAAAATATGGAGGGGATCAGTTGCAATGCAGCTCGTGTGTCTAGGCACTTAGGCTCAGTTTATACCGCGGAACCATAGTGCACTGAACTTTATTCTTATTATTTGTCAATTGTGTAACGTACAAACTAGATATGTGCCAAAAAAAAACAGATAGCGCGTCTATATATCTACGACATTAAGCTCATTATACTATGTAGAATTTCGTTACAAGAATCGATCGCTTCCATTCGGTTCCGTGACTACATAAATTGAGACTGACATTTAAGTTTTTAAACGAATTTTGTTATATGACATAATTATTATTTAATACTATTATATTGACACTGTACTTTAGCCCAATGTCACTCGTGTTTATTATTCTTATGATCTTAAATAGTTCTCGATTGTTTCAGAACATGGCTGGTCGGAAGTACAGGAGTTAGTGAGGTGCTGTGAGGTAGTCGACGGCGCCACGATGCCTCGACTAGCCACCGACTAGCCGATACGCTCTCTTTGCGACGACTTGACGATCAGACTGAGGTACGAGAATGATTTTTCACGTGTTTAATGCTTAATAAGTCAAACTTGTCGTACAAGTTTTTTTTTTAATTTAATCTTTAAGTAATGGAACAGAAGGTTAACAACACTAAAAATCAACCTCATAAAACAGTTTTTGTGTTTTATTACATAAGCGGGTGGCGTACCCGCAGTGGTTGTTTAATAATCGCTGCTGTTATACAATAACGCAGTATTGCAAAATACTATGATTTTGAACTAAGTATGCAGCGACGAGAAGAGCAAGCGAAACTTTATCGTCAATTGATTGTATTATATTAGACAACACCACAAACGTTGCTCTGATCCCAAAGTAAATAGCTAAAGCACTTATGTTATGGAAATTGGAAACAACGACGGTACCACAAACACCCAGACCCGAGACAACATAGAAAAGTTAGTTTCTACACTTACCCAGCCGGGGATCGAACCCAGGAACTCAGAGATGGCGACACTATGAAAACCGGTGTGCAAGCCACTCGACCACGGAAGTCTTTAAATGTTGAGACTCAACTGCCATTGCAACTAGATTTTATAAATCACCATACTTCATTCTTTATTTTATTTTTTTCACGCACTTGCGTTTACGGGGCCATTGAATTTATTGTGTCCAATGGTTTATACTCTGCGACTGAATCTTGAAACGCGTTAAAGCGCGTTATCTGCGCGTAAATAATAGACCGTGTGTATATATTATCTTAAATAATAAAGGATGCTAGACTATAAATCCATTAATACCACTTTACTTATTTCTGCTGTCAAACAGTAATGTGAGCATTATTGGTTTCGGATTTGAAGGGTAAGTAAGGGTGCTGGTTACAGGCACATGGGATTTGTCAACTTATGTCTCAGGGCGCGGGTCGCAGTAGCAGACCTTTGTGATTTAAAGCTCTGAGTAGCATTGCACAACCAAATTAAAAAACGCATGTCGGGAATAAAGCTTTATACTTGACACTATGTTTTAATTTACTCATTTGACAATAATTGTTTCGAACATATGTCGGGCGGGGAATGAGAGTACACCCCCAGGTGTGTCGTTAACTACCAGTCGTATGACTCATTCGTGCCAGCGCTTTGTATCATAAAGAAAATAATAGTATAGCATCCTAAGAAATGAAAATATTTTACCGGATTTAAATCGCATATATTTGTTTTTTCGAACAAACCAACGTTTGGGGCCCTTTACAGATCCCATGGTCACGGTTGATGGGATATCCGCGATTTCAATCCGGAAAAATAGTTTCATTTCCTATGTGTAACAATCGCGAAAACCTAAGAACTCGATATATAGCATTCTAACTTCACTTAAAGACCATTTAAAGATGTATAACAAATCGAATGAATAATTAATGCAAAAGGCAATAAAGTTTTTTTTTAAATCATTATAATAAGAAACCTATAAAATTCGCAGCAATAATAAATTATAACAAGCCGCTTTGGAAACTTGAAACGAAAACATATTGTGTCCCACGATGGAGGATCTCGGATTTCACAAGCCACTTTACTCTAGACGGTTGGAGGTAGCGCTTGCTTATACATACTTTGCATAAAATTGACGAATTACTCACTATTTGCACTACAAGCCTTTCTATATTGACACCACCTAGTTTTAGTATTGACAATACTATCACGTTCAAATATTATAAGAACACAGTCTGTAATAACTGTGGACCTCGCCACTCCTCCCTCTTTGTCTAACGTCACCCCGCCCTCGATATCGAGTTTTGTATTTTTTAGCGTCCGTGACACTTATCATGTTTTTCATCACATTTGCGAGGAAATAAATACAATGTTTATTTCTTGTATGAATAAATACGGTTCACAACACGACTGTTATAAATTTTGCAAATGGCGGGTAAGTGGGGGTCGATTATAAGAACTTTGTATAATAATAAATATTTATGTATGTGACTGAAATGCAATTAAATTTCTGTTTAGATAACATTTTAAGCGAATGTTTTAATTTTGATCTTAAATAACCTCCTTGTATGAACTTGAACCTGACCTATGTAAGCAAGTATGTCGTGCTACAAATTAAAAATTAAACTCCTTATCGGCCATGGCTTTAATGGACCAGGAGTCAAAAAGGCCAGAGGGTTTTATTTAGGGGCATTATAGTCAAGTTAGCCACCATGCAATCATACTATTTACGTCAATATGTGATGAAAAAATTATAGACACGGTCATTCAACGTTAAGAAAACATATTAACATTTGGGAACGGGAATAAACGCGTTTACACACGAATACAAAGAAGGGCTGACAGCCGTGACCGCAGCCAGTGCAACCTCGCCTAAACGTCGGGAAACAAGGTAGGTGTGAAAAATACCTATTCGTATCTAAACACGTTTATTGCCGTTTCCAAATGTTAGTACAATGCAACGCGAAAATTTAAAAAGTGTATATATATATATACGCTTTTTAAATCCTAGTAATTCCATTAGTTTATCAAAGCTTTATTTCTCTAATAATACCGAAGAGAATAACTTATACTGTTGTTATATACTGCCATTGTGAAAAAAATAAATGACTCTTGTAACATTTAGTTAGGCGACAACCTCGATCGCCCGACGGTTTTGCACTATCGGCGCTCGGTGATGAGATTCCGGGTTCGAGTCCCGGTAGAATCAATTTAAGAATTTTTTTTTAATTGTTCTGGGTGTTCTGGGTATTAGTTATGTAGTAGCCCCGGAGTTCATTCCGTTGTTCAGGGACTCACAGTTCAGGGAATTTCCCAGTTTAAGACCAGGTACTTGGTGAGGTTGTCTAGCAGTTATTGTTTTATTTACTTTCGACTTTCCCATAGCATAAATGACTAAGATTAATTTTGAATTTTTAAATGGGAGAAAGAGAACTATTATTACAATAATCAAGCGACAATTTTTCAGATACATTTACAAGAATATTAATTATGCAGATTATTTTACGTTTGTTCACATGTTCCTATGAGAATTTAACATAAAAAAGAGAAGAATACTATAATCATTGTTATTGTTACCCCTGTGTAGTTTCCCATTATTGGCGAGTGGACTGTATGTAGGTATATTGAGATGTGCACTATAATGAAAACATTCTGTCAAATTAAACACGTGTAATGAGATCTATAGAAAATGTAATATTGAAAATAAACCGAACCAGATAGAAAACTTCATAATGGGAATGTAAAAAAAACTATAATGACAAAGGACAAAGCGTTACAGCTGGTCGCCAACACCAATAATATAAAAAAATATCAGAGGTCAAAGTCTCACGAAGACCCTCCACCACCACACAATCACCACCATAAGTGTAATAGTCGAAATAACATTTTAGTTACAGCTTCAGATATTGGATTAAATAAGGCCCACTATTTAACAGCCTCGGTGGCCGAACGGTTACCATGCCGGACTGCCACGCAGAGGTCCCAGGTTCGATTTCCGGGCCGGTAGAAATATTTATATGGCCTACATTTATTTGTTGTGTTTACGAGTTTGGGTGTAATATGTGGTTGTCTATGTGTGTGTCCATGGCACTCATGGTGAGTGTAAAAAAATTCTACAAATGTCTTTTAATTAAACGTTTGTATACGATAACACTTAATGGAAAATTCAAAAAGTTATTTTAAACAGTATAATTAGTAACGAGTGCTTAGGTTTTCGTGATTGATACATATTTATTTATTTATTTATTTATTTATTTGGGATAACAACAGCAATAATGATAGGTTACAAAAAATTAATTACATATTACAAAGCCAGTAACAGTTATCCTCGATTTATACATTAAAATAAAAACACGGAGCACGGGGTGTCTATAAGCGTGATAAATAATTATACAGATTATATACATACATATAATTGTGAAACAAACTAAGTAAACTAAATATGTACACTTACATACAAACAATACTTACTATACACAATAAAATATTGGTATATATATTGGTAAAAAAAATATTATATATATTGGTAATGAAACAATTGTTTCGGATCTAAAACTCGTAAATTTGTTATCAATCAAACAAACCAACGTCAGTCAACCGTGACCATGGGGCATTTTTTTATAATATCAAGTGACGTGACGAACAAGTCGTGCACCTGGTTAAGCGACTCGCCTGCCGATTACAGTTGCAGTACCACTCAGGACTTTAAATCACAAAAATCTGAGGGGCACTGTGAGACAAGTTGACAAGTCCCATGTCCCTGTAATTTCACCAGCACCTTTACCCTTCATAACTGGAACGCAGTAATGCTCATATTGCTGCTTGGTGGCAGAAATAGGTAAGGTGGTAGTAGTTACCTGGACGAACTCTTTCACAAGAAGCTCTATTGTTACTAAACCTGTAAAACGCCCGAAACGTTTTGTGATTTTTATCTGGAAATAGATTTTCATTTGTAATTGATAACGGATAAGGTGCACAATCGATACACTTTCGATTACCATTCACTTTCCAGAGCGTCTCAGACGTCTAGATTATGGACAAAAAGCTATGCCCCCATTTAGAGAGAAACTAAACACAATTGTATGCCAAGGCCATTGAACAAATTGATATTACATAGAGTGAGAGTTTGCACCGACTTGCGCCCGCGCCTGACCGTCGCTTGTCACGTTTTTATCGGTCTGTAGAGTTCACCAATTAACATGTTTTCTTACGTGATTGTCTGTGACTGTACATCGTTTTGACATCGCAACGTTGTTTTGACAATTTTAGTAAATAGTATACTGTGTACTTACTCCTTACTACCTTACTATTGCTGGATAGAATTAAAGAATAGAAAAAAAAAATAACTGTATTATTTAACTTGTCTTTGGCGGAAGAAACAGCCTACCATAGTTATTAAAGTACATTATGCTATGACATTTTGTTTGTGAATTGATTATGTTATGTACGGTTGAAGTATAGATTGTATACAATAATATTTCACTATATAATGATTAATTTAAAATTTTGTATCGGTCGAGGAGTGTGCACAGGAACTTTTCAACTTGATTCGACCCTCACCGTTC